TAAACAACAAGTTTGTTTGATGTGTAATGATTGTTCATTTTAAATTCTTATCAAAAATTTTAATATTTAATATAATTTATATTTTGTTTGACCACTTAATTTACTCCAAAATACAACAAAAGTCCCATATTGACTTTTTAGTAATAAGTTACACAAATTATTAATTCGATCAAAAAATAAAATTTCAATTAAAATGAATTAAATCAACATCAGAAGTATTCCCACAAATAATGCAAGATATCCCAACACGACTCCATTGTGAATTTCATGTGTAGGGTCCACAGTACCAGCTGTATTAAATTCGTAAATAACAAGTTTATTTCCTTTATTTTGTGGTGCTTTGACCCAGAAAATGTTTCCACTACTCAAACTTCTGAAAGAGTCATCTCTATCTCCCCAACCAGTTACATCGGTTACTTCTTCAAATTGGTCTTTTATAGTAACTGACGCGTCTATAGTTCCCAAATAAAATTTAGTCTTATCTTCAGTATATCCAACAAGGAATTTGTCTCCATATTTAGCAATACATCCATTGTTCTTGGTTTGATCATTTTTCTTAATAAAAGTGACTTTGGTCCTCTTTTTGTCCTTTCCAATAAAAACCACGCCAATGTCTTGAACACCATTTGGTGTATCCTTTAAGACATTACGAGCAGCTTCGGGTGTTATTGAATTCATAATGAGTAATTACCCATCACCATTCTCAACAACACCACCTAACTCTCCACCACTATATTTCTTTCTATTTGCAATGTGTGAATATAAAGTATTTATTTGGGCATTCTCAGCAAACATCCCAAATCCAGGGTAAGCATCGGAATCACAGATGTGTATCATCGTGTTAGGCTGCGAGTTTCACCCTTGCAAGCCAGAGAGCATGTGTGAGCACCCCCATCCCCATATTTTAGTCACTGTCCCATCATCTTTAATTGTAAACAAAGCATCACCTTCATGTCCATTATCACTGTGGATGTGTGTGTAGAGATGGAATGTCCCATTACCGTAATTTAAGCGACTGTCTCCAACTCCAAAGCCTTTGTCACTTCCAGCTACAATTGATGAAGGATATGTTTGGGTTCTTAAATCAAGATTTTTGGTGTATACTTCCTTTCCAGCGGCATCTATTTTTCTGAAGTAAATTAGACTGGTCTTAGTATCCCAGAGGAAGACACCATAGGAACCATCGTCTTTCACGGTAAGACCTCTGACACTATATCCTGTGAATGTGTCTGTTCGCATAATAGTGTTGGTTTTGGCTTTCACCTTTATAACAGTACCAAGTCCATTGGTATCAGTATACCCAATGTAATAATTGTTTTTGGCATCAGAAGATGGATACAAACGAACAGAAAATGTGACTTGAGTGTATATTCGGAAAGTATATTCACCGCCTAATAAATTGACTGGGAGAGTCACTTCATATGGAGTGATCTTCTCTTTGAGTAAAGCATAAGAGAGTGTGAAAAACAATATTTGAAGAAACATTATGTTTTGAAATTAATAAGTTAACAAGTTTTTATTGAATAATTCGTGTTCTTTAATTAATATTAACTTTTTTAAACAACAACAAATTAAAGTACAAAAACACAGTTATATTTATTTGGTTTATAATTAGCAATTAAATTCAACCAATCACATTATTAATTTTTAAAAAATAAATTAATTCTATGTTTCTTTTAAGCAAAAAATAGAAATTTAATATTCAGTTATACACAAAAAAACAATTTGTTAAAGTTTGAGACTAAAAATTATATTTTTGAATGAGTTTAGTTTTATTAGTTAATTAACAAAACTCTAAATAATTTGTTTGGTTTAATTATAAATATATTAAAGTTATTAATTGTAGTATAATATTAATTGATTTTATTAAAGAGAAAGGACGGACATGGGGACGAAGGACGGGAATATAGGCCGAAGG